ATCCTTAATGTTTACATGAAGGAGAACGAGCCAAGTTTGTCAAGATAATTTTGAAGAAGAAAAAGGACTGATCTCAAAAACCTCCCCCAGATGTCAAAACATTTTAAAACTAAGTGACCTGAGAATGGCCCAGAGACATTACTGTGGTTTTATATTTCTTTGTTGGGTTAAAGAAATCGTGTGGAGAAGGGAGATCGGAAAGGTGACACCGATGACAAAGGAAGATGAGCTCCTCCACAGCGCCTCAGGCACTTTGAATCAGAGTGATCCTGATCCTTAAACAGAGGATCCAAACTCTTAAAGACAAAAACTATTTTCAAAAGAAGCACTTGCATCACAGGAGCCTAGTGTAAGGATAATAATTCTTAGTAGCTAGGAGTAAATTTCAATCAGCCATCTGGCATTGCTTAATCATTTGATATGTGCTCATCACAAAGGAGTCAGAAGATGAAATTGTAAGTACACTGTTCTGGATCTCAAATAGCCTTTGACAAAGTTGAGAGGCAGAAGTCACACATGAAATAAGTAAAGAACTACCTACAAAGCAGCATACTAGTAAGTAGAATAAAGAAAAAAAAAAGTACTGAGAGTTGCAAGTATAGCAGTATCAAACCATAGGCAGATGTGCTCAGGGAAATATTCTGAGGTGGGTCTGGGTAGTTTATGGCTGCAGAGGGAGTCATCGTCCTTGAGACAACTGCCTGCATTTGTCCACCTGCTCACCTGCATTTGTCCACCACGACTCAGGCACCAAAACCATCAATGTGCACTGTTGACTGCACCTACACTCCGTCAAATTATGACCAACTTGTCAAAATACAACTTCAAAATCTATCTTTCTCTGTAAGAAATTAACTAATGACCCTGTCTAAGATTTAAGAAAATGATAGGCTTGTCTTCCTACTTCTTGTTCTCTTTTTTGTTGTCGTTAATAATGCTGCACAGAGGTAGAAATTTCTTCCCCCGGGGACTCTTTATTTTGGGCCTTACATCACTCACAAGTGTTGCTTTTGAGGTGTTTGGGCCTTACATCACTCACAAGTGTTGCTTTTGAGGTGCAGAGCACCAACATGGGCGGAATAAAGGTTTAATGCCTGGTGGGGGTGTTGATTCCTTTCTTTGAGAAATTTATTGGCTTACTGTTTAGACAATCATGAGTTCCAGGAGGATCTGAAAAGAAAATATATTGTATTCTAATGATGTCCTCTTTCAGGGCTATTGCCTACCTTGTACATCTTTAGAAATACACACTGTTCACTTTCTAAACCATTTATATCATACTAGCTCACAGAACCAACTTTTATATCCAGGAACCAAGATTTCAACTGGAAGAACCTTAGTCGGGTGCTGCTCGTCCATATTCCAAAAGGTAATGTACCATATTGCAGGTATATTGATAAGTCTGCAATGATTAAGGCAACCACATAACATCTCATTACTTAAAGAAATTAAACTCACTGGTTTATACAGCAATAGTCCTCATTCATGTCCAACATCAGATCACTCACATGCCAGTGCAGTTGAATACAATGTGTCATAATCTTGGAAAATGGAAGGTAATCAACAAGTCCTCAGCTCCAGCTCTGAAGCAGCACATAATCATTTCTGAAATACATTAATAAAGAGAGATGGCTTCCCGACAATAACTGACACTTGTAGTAAGAAGGTTCCCTGAGTTCTGATATTATATTTATTGGAATTATAAGTAGGTACATAGCTTAGAAGGTATATAAGTCATTATACTGCTTGTTATTCATGTGTAGTTACTAACGTTGATATTAGAGCCACCATTTCTCGAATGTGCTGTTGTAAAGTCGTAGCTTGCTTGATCTCAGATGAGCCCCACAGCAACCCTGTGAGAAATTACTCGCTTGCCTTTTGCCGCTGAGGACACTGAGACATGGAGCAGTAATGCCCAGAGTCTCATAGAAGACAATGCTTACACCAGCTCTGATTCCAGAGCCCAAGCTCTGAACCATCTGCTCCCCTAGTTGTAGAGCCTTTTTGTAGGATTATTCACTAGTTATATGTAGAAAAGGGGAGAGCCCCCAAATTTCTAAATAGGGCTTAGGCAGGGGTGGGCAAACTTTTTGACTCGAGGGCCACAATGGGTTCTTAAACTGGACCGGAGGGCGGGAACAAAAGCATGGATGGAGTGTTTGTGTGAACTAATATAAATTCAAAGTAAACATCATTACATGAAAGGGTACGGTCTTTTTTTTTTTTTTTTTTTTTTAGTTTTATTCATTTCAAACAGGCCCGGATATGGCCCGCAGGCCGTAGTTTGCCCACGGCTGGTTAGGGTATCATTCTGCTTGGAAATGGAGGACTAGGGCTCTTGCCTGAAGCTATATTTCAATAGCAAAACCTATTTTAACTTAGATGGTACAGTTATTTGGGGTGGTTTATTTGGGCTGATTAACACTTTGGAGGGGAGAAGAGGTAAAGCCCTCTCAAGTCATTCTTTGGTACTGCCAGTATGGGTCATGTTACTACACACTTAATATCATTTTCTCTTTGGTTCCCTGGAGAAGGGATGTGTGCTAGGATTTATCCTCCTCTTACACATTTGAGCTTACACGTACTATGGACAAACAATACTAAGTCATAATCACTTTTTCCCCCCCTCACAATTTTTTTGATCCAGTCCATTGAAAGACATACAAGGTACTGCTACGCAATACCTAAATAATTGTTCATTTAGATAGATGTGGGGGGAAATATTCACATTCATTGGCTACAAAGCATTAGGCATACAAAGCCACTTTCTTTATATATTGCCGGGGTGTTTCTCAGCCTCTAGAAGGATTCAAGAATCTGGAGAAAGGCTGAGAGTAAATTAATAAAGAGACCAGACATGAAATATAAATTTGGAAGGCATTTTGGGGAGCCAGAGGACACCTAGCTTCAGTAACCAAGTTCTCAGAATCTCTGGACCCCTAGCTTTTTATTAACACAAATTGGCCTAAAGCAAAGCAGATATACATATCAAAGGTAAGGTTTAGTATACAGTATGCACTGTCACCTTGGGGGAACTGCCTTTGGCTGTCAGGCAGCAGGCAGTAAAATATGCAAATCTTTAGGTTTGGGGAAACGCTTTCAGCTATTCCAGCAGGCAATAATATGCTGAATATAGAAGCCCATCAACCTTTTGAAGACTTCTTGCATTTAATTATGCCCTGCTAGAATTAGCTTCCAGAAATCTATCTTATTTCTCATGGTCAGGCAGAAAACTTAGGCCGTGGTGTTTGGTCATTTCTCTCTTAGGAAGCATAGTTGTTCTGGGTTGATAGTGCACATAACCAGAAACCTGTGGAAGACGCAAGGAAATTGTTTTGCCTTTAGGCAGAACTGTGAAATAGAAAAAGCTATTCTTCCCTCTGAAGTCGGCTGGGACTTGACCGGAGCCCAGACCTTACTCTGAAGTGGGGGTGTCAGCAGAGCCCCCCAGGTCCACCTGAGGAAGCCGTCATCAACTCAGGTCCAGCGGGTGTGGGCAGGACTCCGTGGAATTGCACAAACCCGGCCCGAACCAGCCAGCTCCGTGGCTTTGGGAAAGTTGTTTGATCTCTCTGCACCGCAGTTCTGCCCTCTGTAAACCAGGGATGACGCTCTATCCGAGATGTGCCCGGAGATGAAGCATAATTCTTCATGTGGACTGAGGAGCACAGCACCGAATACGGTGGGAACCAGGTAAGTGGCAGCTACTTGGCGTTATAAGCACTGGGCAGTGGGGAAGGCGTGTGTTTCTAGGTGTGAGGAGTCGTTTGTATTTTTATTCCTCGGTGAATGACCAGGATGTGCTGAGTGATTTTTAAAGATGAGAACTGTGCCGAAACCGGTTTGGCTCAGTGGATAGAGCCTCCGCCTGCGGACTGAAGAGTCCCAGGTTCGATTCCGGTCAAGGGCATGTACCTGGGTTGCGGGCACATCCCCAGTGGGGGGTGTGCAGGAGGCAGCTGATCGATGTTTCTGACTCTCTATCTCTCTCTCCCTTCCTCTTTGTAAAAAATCAATAAAATATATTAAAAAAAAATAAAGATGAAAACTGTGATGTGCCACTCATCTGCGGAGAATAACCTGCAAACACAGTTGCAGGCCAATGGCTGATTTCACTCGAGGCTTAAAAAAATGTTGCAACACATCAAACAGAATGACTGGTAAAACACATTTTTCAAAAGTTAAAAAAAACCCACAAAACTCACTTTGTGCAACTAGCAACAATGATTTTTAAAGGTGTGAAAAGCATGATTGAGAAAACGTTTACATGTAAAGCAGACAAAACTGTGGTGACTATGTCTTGTGGGAAAAGGAAATGGCCTAAGTGGACTCGGGGTGAAATTACAGCACTTATTATGTCACAGGGTTAAAAATAAAGACATTCATTTATCAAATATCTGTTGAGCGCCCACCCCGCCCAGCACACACACCAATTCACAGCACCAGCTCCGCGGGCTTCCCCGGCTGACACCTGAGGCCCCATTCCTGCAGAGCGCGCCGCCACCTACGGAGCCGAGCAAGTGCTCCGCCCCGGCCGCAGGCCTCGTTACCGGCCTACGGTGTCCCACGAGGACAGGGAGGCGCTTCACGCGGAAACTTGTCCGCCCGCATTAAAGATGGCGCCTGGGGCGTCAGGTGTCCCTGCTGCGCGGCCCTCCCGTCGGGGGCGGGGCCTACAGAGAGCAGGTGTGAGTTTCAGAAGGGCGTGTTTTGCTTTTCCCGGCCTCTCCCTCCTCCCCTCGCTTTCCCAGCATTTGCTGAGGGTGAACGAGGAAAGATTCGATCAAATTTAACCAGAAGAACTCAAGGCGGGACGCAGCTCAGCGATTCCTGGCAGAGCCGCGCGTGCGGCCGGGCTTGGGGGGCGGGGCCAGGGGCGGGGCGAGGCCGGGCTCGGAGGCGGGGCCAGGGCGGGCGGGGCGGGGCTGTGGTTGCGGTCCCAGCGCCCGCCGCGGTGGCGGAGGCGCAGGCGGTGGCGAGTGGGTGAGTGAGAAGCCCGCGGAGCGCCGTCTGTCTGGGGTCGGGGGACGGGACCTCGCGGGGCGGAGGCGGGGGCTGTCCCCAGCGTTGGCCTTTCCTCTCTTTTCCCCTCTCTTCCGTGCCCTAACCCGGGCGTCGGGTTTCCCTGCCCGGAGACCAGTGGAGTTGTCTGCATCCGGGCCCCCGGCTTCCCGGCAGCGGCGGCGGCGGCGCCGAGAGCAGGGGATGGGGATCGAGCCTCCCCGCCGCTTTCCCTCCCGCGGCCCCCGAGCCGGCTCCTCCTCGGGACCCGGCGTCAGACCCGTGGGACCCGCTGCCTCGCGGGCTCCACGGACCCGAGCCTGGGGCCCGGGAGGCCTGGCCCGGGGAAGGCCGAGGGCGGGCGGCACGGCTGCTCCGGACCCGGTTGGGGGCAGCGAGGAGGCGACGCGGGTGGGACGGCGGGAGGGCGGAGTGGACACACCGCACGTCCACCGGCCCGAACACCTGGGCAGCAGCTGGAGGTTGCGTTACGCTCCATTCCGTGGGCCGTGGCCCGCTTGCTCCACCGTCCGCGGTTGCGCCGATAAGGGAAGCATTGCGACGTGGGCATCACTTGATGATGGTATCAGTTTCAGAAAGAAGCGCACTGATTGCAGGTCTGGGGGCCCCCGCGAGCCCTTCCGGGCGCCTGTGCTCGGAGGCACCGAGGGAGGCCAGGCTCTTGCCCAGGAGATTCAGAGCAGCCGTTGTCAGTCGATAGCAAAGCCACAGCCTGGTTGTGGATAAATCCCAATTAAAGGTGTTACCATTCTTCACCTGTGATGCAAAGCAAGGGGACACACTGCTTCTGGCGTTACTTTTAATTTGTGCAAAAGGCACTGGGACATACGGCTAGATAGGGTCTTTCTCAGACTTTGGAAAACTTAACATAATGGGAACATTTCAGAAGCAAGTATATAGCATATGGGCGACTAATAATCTGCAGTCAGAATACTTGACATATGATGATATGATGGTGTATGTGACGAAGGTACTGTCGCCAGCACCTCAGCCAAACCCTGCCACTCTTTCGGAAAGGACAGGAGCTGGATTTGCCTTTTGATGATGAAAAATGAGCAGAATTATCGATCCCATTACAGACCGTGCCGTGAGCTAGCACTCACCTGCTCCAGGAAACAATTGCATAGGGGCTAAATATTTTTTTTCCCCCCGTATAAAGTTGATTTAAAAAAAAACAACAACAACTCTTTATGTGGCTCCCTTAGCAGTCTAAACTTTTCCTTTCAGAGAAAGAGGTAGAAAACCTATAAAAACTCCCCAGTCTGTCAAGCCTGCCCTTGGGCTCAATTGAAAAAGTCCAGCGGAGGAGGGCAGGTAGCCCGTTCGCTGAGAAACGTGAAGCTGAGCGAGACGGCCTGATGGTGATGTCCTGGTCATCCCTGTGGGTCTTGCCTAATGAAAAGTTAGGAAGGGTTGCCCACTGTGTGGCGTTACAAGCAGTTCGCTGTCGGTAAAGTTCAAGTCCGTCTGGCGGCTTCTGATGCCGAAGGAGCGCTGACTTGGGACCCTGTTTCCCTCACGGCGGGAGAAGAGAAGCGGAAGGCATGGCTGCACGCAGCGTGCGTCCCAATGATGGTTGAATCGGATTGACAGCTGCAGGGGAGCACCCCCCTTTCTGAATACCAGTCAGAAAAGAGGTGACCGATACTTGGTAAAGGTTTAGGGAAAAGCGAAGCTTCGGACCTACCCCTCTGCTAGCAGTGTCAGCAAACAACAGTTCACACAATCTGCATGTGTTATTTTCAGAAAACGTGGGGTCCTTCTCCTGAACCTGCTGTTTACAGGAGTGGCAAGCCACGGCGCCACCCGTTTGGACCCTGGCCTTCCCTCAGAAGACTCTTTAGGCTAATAAGGTTTGATAAGCCTCTGGGGAAGCCAAACACTATGTGTAAATAGATACGTAGATTAAAAAAAAAAAAAAAAAAGTAAGACTTCTGGTTTTGAACTGATATTTTTTTCGGCCACATTTGTATATATGGGTTTTCCTCATCAAAATGATGACTTCAAGTGTTAGTAAAATTTTATAGCTTTCAGTTAGACTTCTCTGTGACATTTCATTTCTCAAGTTATTTCTTTTGGCAGGATTTAAAACTAAATATGATCCTTGTCCTTTATTTCCTTTCTAATGATACTAGCAGTGAGACTGAATGTAATTAGTGGTCTATCATAGTTTAATTTTCACTGTCAGTTAAAAAGTTTTGCCATAATCCAACCAGATTTTGCCTTAGGGCTCAAATGCTTTTATTTTCAATGGAGTGATGAAATGCTTGAGTTGCAATCTTGCCTTTATGATTATCCATCATTTTTATCCAGAAAAAAAAAAGAGTAAAAGAAAAATATATTACAATCTATTTAATGTGTTTACTTAATTCGTTTCCTTGGCCTCCAGTTTGCTGTTGTTAATGATGCCAATAGCAACATTACAGTTTCAATTCAAATTACATTGCTGTATTCTGTCATTGTAAACTGACTGCTGAAGTTGAGTCCAAAACAGTGACTATTTTAAACGTGCTATGCAGCTTAGATCCACTTACATTGTGATATAACGCATTCAAAAGTAAGCATTCCGTAAATGAATTTCTGAAGTAAAAGATGCACACACAAGAACTGTCTTCATGTTAAACCATTTCTGCACATAGTGTTTGCCAAGCTGTATGTACCTATTTTTGACATCATGATAAAAGTGTGCATTTAGTGCTCTAAAAATAGAAGTCACTGCTTTTCATCAGTTTCTGAACTCTCTTGACAAGGTATAGATAAGTCCTTTAACTAAAATGGTTTACTTTGACATGAATTTAGTTATAGATCAAATGTGTTCTCCCAAAGCAATCATATAGGCAAAGATAGGGATATCACATTTCAGCTCACAACTGCTGTGCTTTGCAATTTTGATGAGTGGAATCTACAGTTTAGACTTGCTTAAATGAAATTGTCATTTTTAAGATATTCTGTCTTTGAATACAAATATCAAATTTTAATATTAAGCAAAACTGGAGGCCCAATGCATGAAATCCATGCACGGGTAGGGTCCCTAGAGGCTGCTGGCTGCTGGCCGGGGCCTTCCATTGTTCTGTGCCACCCAAAGTGGTCAGTGCACGTCATAGCAAGCAATCAAACTCCCAGTCAATCGAACTCCCCGGGGGACGCTTTGCATATTAGGCTTTTATAGATATAGATAGATGATTCCTTTTACACTAACATCATGTAGAGTGTACACCCTCAGAGTGATATATTTGAGTAGGTTGAGATAGACAGGAGACCTGGATTCTAGCCTGGCTCTGTGAACTTGGTCACTTCATTCTTCTCTCCGTGTCTGTTTTCTCAGTAGATTGAAAGGCTTGAACAGGGCTCATCCAGTCATGTTGTTATCTAAATAACTGAAGCTTTTTAATTCAGCAATTTGCATAGAACTCTCTGTGGTGATAAAATGCTACACTGCTTTCTTGAATAGCATATTAAATGTTTTATCTTCATTTTAAAACCCATAATGGGCTTTAGTACCCTGATACCCAAAGAGTTCATTGAGAATAACAGGACCCATTTGCTTACTTTCTGTTACCAGTTCACACTGCTGAGTTTTTGCAATTTTTTTGGTCTTTTTATTTATTTTTTCTTTTTTCTTTGCCCTTTTAGCAGCTTTTAAGGTATTTCTATTGTCAGGTGTTTTATTAGTTTCCTAGGATTGCCATAACACAGTACCACAAACTAGGTGATTAAAACAAACAAAACAAAAAATTATTCTCTCACAGTTCTGGAAACTAAAAGTCCAAAATAAGGTGTCAGCAAGTACAAGGTCCTTGGAAGGCTTGAGGGCAGAATCCTTCCTTGCCTCCTCTTAGCTTCTCTGGCTATCAGCAATTGCTGACATCCCTTGGCTTGTAGCTGCATCACTCTAATTTCTGCCTCCATCTTTACAAGGCCCTTTTCCCTCTATGTCTATTTCTCCAAATCTTTCTCTCCTTTTAAGGACCCCAGACACTGGATTAGGACTCTCCCTAATCTAGTATGACCCCATTTTAACTTGATTACTTACGTCTGTTTCCAAATAAGGTCACATTTGCAGATACTGGTGGTTAGGACTTGAACAGATTTTGGGGTGGAGAGACAGTTCAGCCTACAATAAGTGTTAGTGTTTCTAACTGAACTCTCCCCTTCCTCATTTAGTCCTCTTTAGTTGATATGGTTTAGGAACCAAATATTCCATTATATTAGAACTAGAAGCCCAGTGCACATGCACTTGGGTGGGGGTGGGGGGCCCCTCAGCCCTGTGCCCTCTCGCAGTTCAGGAGCCCCTGGGGGTGTCCAACTGATGGCGGGGAGCGGGCCTAACCAGGCAGTCGGACATCCTTAGCACTGCCACCGAGGCAGGAGAGGCTCCCACCACCGCCTCTGCTCTTGCCAGCTGTGAGCTGAGCTGGGCTTCTGGCTGAGTGGTGCTCCCCCTGTGGGAGCACACTGACCACCAGGGGGCAGCTCCTGCATTGAGCATCTGCTGGTGGTCAGTGTGCATCATAGCATCCGGTCATTCTGCCATTGGATCGATTTGCATATTACCCTTGTGTTATATACGATTGCACATAGACTGGATATTTGGGAACAGGGAGGGTCTATTCTACGAGCTTTAGTTCATAATAATTCATCTGAATGTTCAGAGGCCATTTTTAGTTCCTTGTCACTTTGGATTTCTAAGCATATTTCTGAATATAAGTGACAAGTCACTATGCATTGTAAAATTACATCAGCAAACATTCACTGTGCACCTGCCATGCTAGTTGAATGCCTCTATCCTGGTTGGAGACATGCTTCGAAAACTTTTTTGACTGAAGGGGAGAAAACCGCATATGCTGAAATTATTTGGATTTTTGACGGATGACTTTAAAATTGCTGAGCCTAATCATTGCTTTGTGTGCCCTTGTTTAGATATCCTTGGAGCACTCGGATAATGTGACAGTTGGGATGTAGTGATGTCGACTCTCTGTCCTCCACCATCTCCAGCTGTTGCCAAGACAGAGATTGCTTTAAGTGGCGAATCACCTTTATTAGCTGCTACCTTTGCTTACTGGGACAATATTCTTGGTCCTAGAGTGAGACATATTTGGGCTCCAAAGACAGAACAGGTACTTCTCAGCGATGGAGAAATAACTTTTCTTGCCAACCACACCCTAAATGGAGAAATCCTCCGAAATGCAGAGAGTGGGGCTATAGATGTAAAGTTTTTTGTCTTGTCTGAAAAGGGAGTAATCATTGTTTCATTAATCTTCGATGGAAACTGGAATGGCGATAGGAGCACATACGGACTATCAATTATACTTCCACAGACAGAACTAAGCTTCTACCTCCCGCTTCACAGAGTGTGTGTCGATAGACTAACACACATTATCCGGAAAGGAAGGATATGGATGCATAAGGTGAGTGGTTCTGAGCTTATTAGTCATGTTAACTTGACCATTGAAAGTTTATCTTCTCTGCCGAGCCAGCTCAGCCAAGGGTTCGCAAGCCTGAGGGAGGGCGGTGAAGGATGAAGAAAAGACAAAGAGAATAAGCTGGGTCTAGTGGATCTTCCTGTGCCTGGCTGAGGCCACAGAGAGAGACCCAGAGGCAAGCTGAGCCTTCATTTTATAGCCAGAGGTAAACAAGGTAGTGGTCACCATAGTTATAATGTTCTTGTGAGTTTCACTTGTTTTGGCAGCACTTGCTGCACCTCCCACAGCCCACTAGCTACCTAGGGAAGGATCAAGGGAGGTCATAAGGTCAAGCCTAATTATGCTAAGAGGACTGTGCCCTCTAAGCTAGGACTTGTTTGTGGCTTTGCCCTATAGCCGTGCCCTACAATCTTCTGACACATTTATATCTAATTTTTAGAAATTATATGCAGTTAACTTCAAACAGTAGCTATTATTTGCAGCTACCGTATTAGATACAGATCTAGTCTGATGTCTGTCCTACTCATAATGACCAGGGAAGGTAGGAGATGATAGCTCCATGTTACAAATAAAAAGCTAAAGCTTAGGAAAGTAGAGAACATAAGTTTCAGATCCATTGACCCTCAAAGCTATTTTTTGGGGGTGGGTGGGAATTACATGCCTGTGTGTTTCACTTACTACTTAGTGTGTGTGGGTGCAAGCATTTCAAAACAATTGTTTCATAAGCAGTTGGCCATGAAGCCTTTGCTCCCTTTAACTTCTTTGCCAAGTTTCTATATTTGTAAAATAGGAGGTTGGACAAAATGGTTTCTAGGAGAGTCCTGTCATTTCATTTTCATAACATAAATGATAGTCCTATTCATTTCATTCCTCTTGCAGATTGGGCTAGAGGAAATTATTGTAATTTCCTAAATCCTTTTGTTTAATATACCGTATGGTGATACTTATATTTCCATGTACTTTTGGCAGATCTGAAGAACAAATTTATTTCTCCTTTCTACTTTGCAGTTTGATACTAACATGGAAATCCATTAAATAATTATTAATTTTATGAGGCTTTTACTAGATAGTAAGGAAAAATAGTATCTTTTAAAGGAATAGTTTCTTACCATGTTTGCAGGCTTGCCTCATTCTTTTTAACATGTATATGAAAATCATTTAAAATCAGGAAGCTCTATATTCTCCAGGTTCAACTTGATCTTAGTTCATTTGAAAGTCATTATCTTTGTGAAACAATGCAGATGTTACATTGACTGTTTTCTGTTAAATTATCTGTTTTTAACTGGAAAAAAAAAAAAAAGGTGGTTTTATGTTTGGTTAATTTCCTCCCTCCCCTGTTTCTGTCCTAAAGTGAAAGTATTTTTCCCATGAACTAAATTACACAAGAACATGTCTGCTACTTAACTGTATTGTAAAAAATAAGCATCAGATGTTTTTTGTTTTTAATTATCTTAATGAATTTCCCCTTGCTCAGGAAAGGCAAGAGATTGTCCAGAAGATAGTGCTAGAAGGCACAGAGAGAATGGAAGATCAGGTAAGGTGGAGATTGCACACTGTCAAACACTGCCAGGCACACAGTGTGTCTGTATAAAGCTAAAGGCTACTTGTGTTAAGGTCTTGAGGCCCTATTAGTTTGACAGAGTGAGCCCGAAAGTGAACAGAGCCTTTATGGAGATGTGTGGAATAAACCTGATAAAAACTTGCATACCTTAGACCTGAATAATTAAATGAAAGTCCAATAGTAATTGCATCTACAGGGTAATATTTTGTTACCTGTTTTCCGTATCCACAGAGTAAATTTTAAATAACTTGCTTATAGTCAAAATTAAAAATTATGTTTGAGATTTTCTTTAAAGTCATGTTTCTCATACATTTCCACAGTAGTAGTTGTAACAGAAGGAAAGTGAGTTCTCCTATAAGGTATCTGTAGATGTAGGCACAGCTCTAAGCATAATATATCTTTGAAATGGTATCATTAGAATTCATGCATTACATTTTATTCTATGAAATGTCTGTCTGTTTTCATATTATAATTTGCCGGTGATATTCCTCACCTTTATACGACCAGGCTTCTTGTAATACCAAGTCTCTAGGAAAATGTAAATGTTTATCCCATGACTTTGAATTTCCTTAGGGAGCAGGCACCAGAGTTTGGAAAGCATGATTGCAAAGACAGGGCTCCCTGTGGAAATGAAGTACTAGCGATTTCAGCACAGGGCCGAGCAGTCCTTCTGAAGGGGACTCTCCAGTGGCGAAAGGGCTCTTTGCTTTTACTGCTGTTGCCCCAACCACCCTCTTTGTTCCTTTGAAACTCCAGTACAAACATCATGGCTGATTTTCTTCTCTCTGGTTCTCTTCAGCATGCCCAAGATAGAATACTACTTTAAACAAAAATTTTCTTTTTAATTTATTTTTATTGATTTCAGAGAGGAAGGGGGAGGGAGGGAGAGATAGAAACATCAGTGATGAGAGAGGATCATGGATTGGCTGCCTCCTGCACGCCCCTACTGGGGATCGAGCCCACATCCCAGGTATGTGCCCTGACAGGGAATCGAACAGTGACCTCCTGGTTCATAGGTCAATGCTCAAACATTGAGCCACACCGGTCAGGCTAAACAAAAACTTCTAAAAATTTGTGGAAATACAGGGGCATTAAGTACGGAAATGCTTTTGTAAATAACTTTCCAGACCAGAATAACTATTCTGGGGAAAGGTTTGAGACTTACAAGAAATTGTTTCTCTTTGTCCAGAGAACCCCAGCCCATGCTTGCTGATCAACAAGCAGGGTGACTTTTGCCAACTTCTAGTTATGGAGTATTTAGAATTACCTCAAGATAAGGAAATTTAGGATCCAGTAACATTCTGCTTTTACTTAGTAAAAGTTACCACTGTTAATGAATGCTGTCTCGCTTTTAAGGGCTCTTGAAGACATTGTCCTACCCCTTCTGTTGTCATGAGGAAAGTACACTGGGACAAACAGGTTCTTAGAGGGGAAAACATTCTCTTGCTCAGAATTTTAAGTTAGAGAAGTTGGAGGAGGAAAGGAAACTGAGGGATTTTCTTTTAGAGCCTCTCTGTGTTCAGCCTAGTAAGATTTTTTTGTTAAGCTTCAATACAGACATCCATTTGCTTGTGGTGATGAATGCCAGATACTGTGTATGAACTACTATATATGCTAAACCTAAGGGAAGGTATTTTCCCCCAATTATCCTTTCTGAAAAGGAGTTGCCTGATCATCATGGCTTTGCAAATCTCACATAATGTGTTTTCAATGACTTTATTTTAAACAGTAAAGACTATTTGGGGATGACATGCAAGTGTGAAACAACTTCAGTCGGTGCGAGTTCTGGTTGCTCAGAGTTGTCCTCCGATAAAATCACTGTACAAGGACGCAAAAATAACAGCACCTTCAGTCATTATTCTTGTTGATTTGTAGTGTTATTGATTGTAATTGTAAACAAACATTTACAGATTACTTTAAAGAGCAGAGTGGTTATGTTGTAGAGGTTACTACAGCTTGAATTTTTTTTTTTTTTTTTTTTTTAGTAATAAAACCTCCTATGATGCAAGGGAGCTTCTGGCATAGGATAAAATTTCCAGAGACAGCATTACATTTATTTATATAATTGTTTTTGTGGCTTTTTAAATTTTTAGATGTTATTTAAAAAATTTTTTATTTTAAATGTTGACATATGCCTTACTATGTGATCACCACACTAAGTCTAGCAACCATCACATTTAAATTCTCAAGCAACTTACATGATCAGGGGGCTCTGAACACTGGGTTAGGTCACTCAAAAAATGAGTGTAGGGATGACAGAGATTCTAATTTGAAGATGCATGTGAAGAATCATCTATATCTCAAAGTTTATATATTGAGGATGGTCAGAAATTTTGGGAGAGTGGTAGTGATAGTGCATAAATGAGGATCACTTGATTTTCAGAAGCTTTACATTTGTGGTATTCTATATTTTCACTCTAGAGACTACAGATTTCAAAATTACATTTTTGACATATAAAAGAAGTAGAAGTATTATCTTGAAAAAAACTCTAAAGGAAACTTGTGTTTTATTGATTATTAAAATATATGTGTGATGTTTTTGATTTGTATTTGGGTAGATTAAAGCTTATTATGAAAGTAGAGATTCAGGCTTTACTACAAGTTCATTGCTGAGGATTCTAAAGTCTTATGCTTCGCTTTATTTTAAAATATAAAACACACTGATAACATTTAATTAACAAGATATATCTCACATTTCAAAAGGAGATCCTTTCTGAATTTGGGGTGATGATTTAATTATTGCATTTAACAGTAAATGATAAACCAATGATTCTATTGTAAGAAAATTATTTCCAGAATAATGGAAATGAGTTTTAAATAGCATGTCAATCCTTTAGATATGTTTTGGAGTTGTAGACTTGTTTGGAGCTGTGTTTGAACAAGTTAGCAAGTATTTCTGTCTTTGCTTTCAGTATTTAATTTTTTATTGTCCAGCTTATCTTACATTGTGTGATTTTTCTTCACCTCATTTACTTTTTTGTGCAGGGTCAGAGTATTATTCCAATGCTTACTGGAGAAGTAATTCCTGTAATGGAACTGCTTTCATCTATGAAATCACATAGTGTTCCTGAAGAAATAGATGTAAGTTCTTATTTTATTAAATAGAAACAATGATATCTTTTATCCATTTTTTTTTCAGTTACATTACTGTTAAGTATATTAGTAGTATTCTCATTTTGTTATTATAATTATGATAACATTAAATTTATTTATTTGTCCTCGTGTGTATTTCCTAGATGTGGGAGAATTTCAGACCTTATAGAAGCAATCACTATAATGCAGTACTTTTGGTAACAAAACAGTGTGTAAATGGAAGTTTACCCATATTCACCAATGTAGTTTCCTTAATCATTTGTTGAGGACATTTAGAGTCACATACTATGCAGGTATAGGGAATTTTTAGGACACAATTTTTGTAGCTTTCTGATATTTTTGTCATTAGGATTTGTCTCCTGATCCTGACAGCTCAGAAGAGGGGGTTGTTCTTGTAGCAATTGTTGCTTAACCTGCCTGACCAGCCTTCACATTTGTTCTTCTGAAAGTTTATGGTAGTGCACAGAGATTGTTTTATGGGGATTCTTGATGTTTAGAAATGAGGGCAATGTGTTATATTGAACCTAGACTTCAAAAAACTTGTATATTAAAAGTGGTTTTCAACATTGTTATACCAGATTTTTTTGTGTGTGTCTTTTAGATTGCTGAAACAGTTCTCAACGATGATGACATTGGTGATAGTTGTCATGAAGGCTTTCTTCTCAAGTAAGACTTTTGCTTATTTCCATAAAAGCTGGATGAAGCAGATACAGACCTTATGCTTACCTATGACAGGATATTGAGGAAAGTAAACAACAGAATGACTACCCCATGTTATTCTAGGGACAACATTGCATATGTGAACTATTACTTAGCTTTGTGTTATCTTTTCATTTATTACATATCTGTGATATATTTGATGTTACTCTTTTTTTTAATATCTAAAGGAGCTGAGTTTCGATAATGCCCAAACAAGAAATCTTAGTCCCTTGTTTGGTTCTGGTTTCTTGTTTTACTTCTCATTAAAGCTGAAACTAATAACTTTTTCAATATAAATTGCACTGTAAATGTACTTGAGTTATTTGGGCCTAGAAAAGAAAATTATTTATATATGTATTCATCCTTTCCATCTTACAATGGATTTTAGTACTTAAAAGTGTGGGCTCTAAAATCAGATTTTCCAAGTTACTGCTGTATAACCCTGGGCAAGCCACCTGAACTCTGTGTGCCTCCATCCCTCATCTGCAAAATGAGAATAGTAATAATAGTAATACTTCATGGGATTGTTCTAAGTGTTGAGTGAGATCAATTACAGTAAGCATTTAAAATAGTGCGTGGCACATAATAATAGCTAATAGCTAACATTTGCTTTTTATATTTCTTCTAAGGAAAATGATAATAATAATAGCCGGTATTTATTGAGTGCCTACATGTTAGTCCCTAATCTAAGTGCTTTCTCTTCATGTATAGTCTCATCTTCTGCTTTAGTGTTTCTTTACAATTGCAGTTTATCATGAAGTTTTATTTATTTTTTTAAAATATGTTTTTATTGATTTGAGACAGAGAGAAAGGAAGGAAGAGGGAGAGAAACATCAAATGGCTGCCTCTTGCATCCCCCCCACCTGGGGATTGAGCCCGCATCTGGGCACGGGTCCTGACAAGGAATGGAACCAGTGACCTCATGGTGCGCAGGACCACGCTCAACCACCTGGGCCACATTGGCCAGGGCATGAAATTTTATTTTTAAAAATGAGGAGTGAAAAATGAGGAGTGCTTTTATGCCTAACAGTCTTTTCCTTTAGATTTATGTTGGAATGGTAGAGGCGAGGGTGAGTCTAACCTAGAGGCCTTAAATGGCTTGAATCAGAAGTGCATTAGTCCTGATTCTATTCGGTGTTAGCCATTCATAGCATTAATTTTAATCCCCTTTGACTTTAAGTAAGTCACTTAACCTCTCTCTATACCTCTCAGTTCCTTCCACTATAAAATGGTAATATTTTACTAAATGGGTTGTTTTAAGGTTCAAATGAGAGAATCTCTGTGAAAAGCATGTAGAAATGAAGATGGCATTATATTTATAGCTTTGGTGCTTCGCATGGAAAGCTATTCAAATCATTTAGAATAGCTTTCCTTCTTTTCTTTTACTTTGTGAAATTGTTTTACAGCCAATTTTTTTTAATCTCTTTTCTTCGATTTACAGTGCCATTAGCTCACACCTGCAAACCTGTGGCTGTTCTGTTGTAGTAGGTAGCAGTGCAGAGAAAGTAAATAAGGTAATTTATTTTATAATCCAGCAAATAATCTCACTTTTTAATACTGCTAACATATCAGAGATTGTAATTTAAAGGTTAGGTTACAGACAAAATGATCTAATAGTATAAGGCAATGTAATCTGACCAAATAACTGTGACACCCTAAGCAAAAAGAAGGGTTCTGTGGAGAAAGTCTGCGTATTTTATCAGCCACCTGGAGAGCACAATACGTATTCAAATGTTACAGGCTTTGAGGTATACTGTAAATTTACCAGCATTTCCCAAACTTACTTGACCACAGAATCCCTATTTTTAGCAACAATTGTTATTATCCATGGACTATCCTGTGTGACTAAGGAATATTTATTTCTCAGGATATATTTTATTGGCAAAAACAATTGAAATTTCAATTCCAATTTCTTTCATAAGCAAACCAGTGCTTTTTTTTACATTATATTTTAATGCTAAATTCTTTTCTTTTACAGATAGTAAAAACATTATGCCTTTTTCTGACTCCAGCAGAGAGAAAATGCTCCAGATTATGTGAAGCAGAATCATCATTTAAATATGAGTCAGGACTCTTTGTCCAAGGCCTGCTAAAGGTAGAGTCTACACTGGTCACAAGTGAAACCAGTTTTTGAGACTCATCATAAGTGTCTTTTGAACATTAGTATTTAATGTATCTCATGTTTTTTATGCCAAAGGGCTGACTTCCTTTACATAGACTGAGCATAGAGTCTATGTCTTACTGATTTATGGTTGGTATCAGTGAAACATCACAGAATATCTTTATATTTCTCTCTGGTTTCCTGTAGCTGCCTGTTTGGCTTTAGGATTTTTATTTTATTATTATTTTTTTTTAATATGTGCTTGAATCAGGTTGATGTCTAAAATGGGAACGTTTACTTTTTTTTACTGAACAAATTTGAATTTTTGTGTTACCATTTTGTTTATGTACCATATTCATTTATTGAAAACAAAATTTAAAGCTGCTCTCTAACTTGAAAAAGTATATAAGATTTTGTCAATTCCTGTGTGTGTATTAAAAAAGATTACTTTCATTTTTCTTTTATTTGTTTAAATATGCTTTTGAAGGGGAAAGACAGATAAATATTAATTAGCCATTATTTTGAGTAATTACAGGGAGGACAGTTACTCACTTTATGGAATCTATTGTTGATGTTTTTATCATAATCAAACACATGAAGATATAGATTCCTAATGCTTATGTGATTCTCTCATAATCGATGCTTTTTTGAAGGTGTAGATATAACAAAATGAACAAAAAATAGTAAAAAATTGTTACAAATAAAAATGATACTCTGCTTTTGCATTTTCAATAATGTGCATGCTATGAGCTCAAAATAATAGTACTTAAATACTGAAACTATTTAAGGGAAACTCATTTCTTTCTTTTCTTTTTTTAAAAATACATTTTATTAATTTTTTATAGAGAGGAAGGGAGAGGGATAGAGAGTTAGAAACATCAGTGAGAGAGAAACATCGATCAGCTGCCTCCTGCACACTCCCTACTGAGTATGTGCCTGCAACCAAGGTACATGCCCTTGACCAGAATCGAACCTGGGACCCTTGAGTCTGCAGGCTGACACTCTATCCACTGAGCCAAACCGGTTAGGGTGGGAAACTCGTTTCTGATTTGAATTGTACAAATCTGAAAATTAGAACTTCTTCTCTATCAAAGACATAAGGTATTTAGTACTTTTTTTCCTCAGCAACCTCTCATTTAATTATATAATTTTATCCCTAAAAGGGTTTTATAGTAGATCCGTATAGGAAAGCTTCAAATTATATCATGATGAAAATATATTTGTTAAGACTTTTCCATGCAATTATAAATTGTGTAGTCTTTTAGAAAATGGTTTGACATTATATATCAAGAGCCTTACAAACGTTTAAAGACTGACCTACTGTTTCTACCTCAGGAAATTCTTCCTAAAGAAACAATTATATGTGCAGAAGATTTACATATAAAGATGATTATCACAGCATGATAGGAGTAAAAAAAAAATGGAAACAGCCTTTATCTTCTGTTCTCTTCAAGTACATAGCACGGTGCCTTTTACACAGTATGTCCTTATTCCATGGCAGCCCAACCAACTATTCCTAGAAAGAAGTGCATTCTTTACTTATTATAAAAATACATATATTATTAGAAATTAAAAGAGCATGTGAATAGTCAAGAAGAAATGGTCACTTGTAATCTCACAATCCGGAGAATAACCATTGTTAATATTTGACATGTATCTTCTGGTCTTGCTTTCTTCTGTATGTGTTTTTTTCACATCTCCCCTCACCCCCCCCAAAAAAATCGGATTATACTTTGCATATTCTAACCTGGTTTTTTTCCACAATATATTGTGAACATCTTTCAATATCAACACATAAACTTCTGCAGCTTAATTTAATCACTTCTCTTTTTGGATTCTTAGGTTATTTGTATCGCTAAAACTTTGTACACAATCATGAGTAATATATGAGTATAAATTTCTAGAGATGGACTTGCTAAATCGAAACCAGGGTGTTTTGTTATTGTTGTTTTTTTAAATAAATCTTTATATCATTTGGCAAATAAGACAGTGACTTTTCCTTTCATTGTGACAGGATTCCACTGGAAGCTTTGTGCTACCCTTCCGGCAAGTCATGTATGCTCCCTACCCCAGCACTCACATAGACGTGGATGTCAACACCGTCAAGCAGATGCCGCCCTGTCACGAGCACATCTACAATCAGCGCAGGTACATGCGATCAGAGCTGACGGCATTCTGGAGAGCCACTTCAGAGGAGGACATGGCTCAGGACACGGTCATCTACACCGACGAAAGCTTCACTCCCGATTTGTAAGTCATGTTGTCCTTTGATATTGTTGTTAAGCAATATTATGAAATTGTATCTTTTGTGAGTAAGAGCAAAACAGATGAGTCTGTGTTTAAAAGGAAAGAAAGGTTACTATGAGTTATGCTTGAAGAAATATTTGGTTAATCAAGCATTTTTTCTTAAATGTTTATTTTTCTTACTATAATCGTGTTTCTCATAAGATAGATTAGTTTTTAAAAATAAGTATTTAAATATTTAACAAATATCTATTGAGCCCTAGGCACAGTACTAGATAGTAAGGTTAATAGTGGCCAGACAGCCCCACTCTAATATGGCTTATAGTCTGATGTATAGGAGCCACTAAAAAACTTATTAACTAAAGCAAAGAAGTAATTCTAAGTCTTTTCTTTCTTGATATATGAATATAAAATACAACAAAACTGTCAATAATATTAATAGAGCATTTTTTTACTTTGAATTTTATATTGTAGTATTCGTTCCTTACCATAAAGTCTGACTAGTATTTTTAAAAGATAAAAAGTAATGATAATAAAATATTCAGTGTTAACCCAATTGGAAAAAATGGTGATGATAAATCTGAATTATAAAACCCTAAGAAAACACTGAAAGGTTTCCTATTTCAGTGATAGGAACTTTCCTATTTACTTCTGAAATCAGGAAAAGATGTGTAGCATACTGGGATACATTATGATTCTCTTTAACTAAAGTGCCTGGCACATAGAATGTGCTCAACAATTGTTGACTAGAATCATACAGGCTTGAGTATATAGGGGAGCAGTAAAATTGGAGTGATCAGCCTGTCCTGTTTTTCTAAGAAAAAATTTGAGCTGAGGCAATAGACATGTGGAGAGCACCAGCAGTCACACAGAATGTGCTGACCAAAAACAGAAAAGGAACACCATGTCCACCAGAAAGGGAACACCATGTCCACCAGAAGAGGAACACGGGATCTCAGCCTTGTGTGTACCAGGTGCAGAGAGATGACTTCATTAGGACCCGTCTTTCCCAGCTCTCCAGTGTTCCTGTTGGTTCCTTAGAAAGCTTTAGGGAAATTGGTTAGAACATGAATTGTTCAAAATTGGAATTCCAGGCACTAAGCTTTCACATACACTATTGGTAATTTTGGTACACATGTAAAGTTCTCAGAATTCATTTGTTCCTTCAAGCATTTTCTTCTTTCCTAAAGTATTCAGTATTTTTTTTTCTTTTTTGGCTTGGTTGCTTCATAGCTCTTTTGGGGAATTTGGTGAACTTTAGAATCAGTTTACAACCATCTAATATTTTTTTAGAGAGGCTATGTGTATACTTTAACAGAGGCTATGTGTATACTTTAACATTTCTTATTCATTTTAGTCAGTTATGCTTGCTTCACAAATTTGACAAACTATGATCAGCCAGCTATTGTTTTGCTGATATAACAAAATAATGTTATAAATTAAAAAAATTTTTTCCAGTTCTATGTAAATTTTCTAAACATAAAACTGTCCAAATATATTTTCAGCCACTAGATTGTGAATTGTTAAATTTTCTATTAGACATATTTTACTTTTAATTTATTTAAAACAATATCACCAATTTTTTAAGATATTTTTTAATTTTAATGTTTAGATATAATTTCAGTCATTGCCAATAAAAAATGAAAAATCAGTCACTGGAAATATATATATTTTTATATATACTTTTTTATTTGTTTTAGAGAGGGAGAGAGAGATAGAAACATCAATGATGAGAGAGAATCATTGGTCAGCTGCCTCCTGCAAGCCCCCTACTGGGGATCGAGGCCACAATCTGCATATGCCCTTGACTGGAATTGAACCCAGGGCCTTTCAGTCCACGGGCTGACGCTCTATCCACTGAGCCAAACCAGCTAGGGATACTTTTTAACACTTTGCTTTATCTAATTCATTATGAACAAGATACTCATTCAGTGAAACAGACATATTAAGAACAGCGGACTTTAAATAGCCTTATTTTCTCTCCAAAGCCAGAGAAGGAGTGCTGTCAGGGTCCACATTGGCCACTAATTGGATACCTTTTAATTATGCTGCTTCTCCCCGCCCCCCCTTTTGGGTTTTCTTCTGTTGTTTGGTATACTCTTCTCTTAAAACTAGGAAATTTTAGGTACTTTCCTATTTATTTCTGCACACACACCTCTTTCCTGCCACTCCTCTCATTATATGATGATCATTACTATTTTCAGTTCAAATTGCTTACCTTATTAAATGTTACATTACCCTTTTGACTTGAGTATAACTTAGCATCTCAGTAAACTCTCTCGGGAAGTAGAAGGCAAGGAGAGGGAAGGAAGAAGAGAAAAGATTGAAGGGGTTCAGACCTGGGAAGAGAGCAGTCTTTTTTAAGCACCTGCTCTGTCCTGGGTGGTGTGTGAGATGCACACTCTCTCAGGTGGCGTTACATCTTAACTTCTTGTCTGATCATTGTTGACAAGGCAGATGATGCTTTCCTAGAACTTTAGCTGGTTCATGTTACTTGCCAGATGATGGGTTCATGATGCAAACCCAGTGGTTGTGATGTTGCCGATAGTCATCTAGCTGTGTCTCTTAATCCCACTCCACTGATTGTTAGCATCCATCCTTTTGCCTTTCTTCATCCTAAAATGTATATTAGAAGCTATTAGTACATAACATTATCCTTCTATTTTGTTTTGGGTGTTGTTGGTAGTGTTGTGTGTCTACTTTTATTACTCTTTTATTTTTGAGATGGCAGGAATTGGTAACTGTATTTACTAATTGCCTAAGGCTCTCAACATTTTTTAAAAGGTGAGTGTATTAAAATAGGTTGATAGATATTACATATCATTCTTGGGATTGCTTATCTTTAAAAGAAAAATAATTACATAGTGGCCTGACAAACTCCAGTAATATACAAATGTCTCCTTGAGTTAAAATAAATATATAGTGTATGTTTTAAAATATATGTGTCTAATTTTTATTTAAAAAATGTTTATATATACTATCCCATTTCTACGAATTTAATTTATTGGCTGATGTAGGATTATGGAAAGTAGCATTGTGCAGCCATTTCAACATTTGGACTATTTTCTTCACAGGAATATTTTTCAAGATGTCCTACACAGAGACACACTAGTAAAAGCCTTCCTGGATCAGGTAAATGTTAAACCTGAGGTCGTTGGAGTGAATGATATGACATGTTTTTGTTTTTTATTTCATGCGTTCTACAATGCCTGTACTCTGTATATAACATCTTAGAATTGAGTCATTATCTTTTTGTAGTGTTTCTGGTCTTTTTGAAAGTGTCTACATGATTTTTCTTTTGAGTTGTTAATGAGTAGTAGTCTGAATATTAACAATTAAAGATGCATCATCCCCCCATTCAAATAATAAATGTTTTCATTCTGAGCACTAACCTATAACTCAAAGTATTTTTTGTGGGGGTGAAGGGAGAGGGTGCACAAATGTTTTTTATTTACCTTAATTGCTTCAAAAATGTCTTTAAACCCTGTACCTCTATTTCAATGATAGCATTTTTATTGTCTCCTTCTTTTGAAAAAAAAAAAATCTGCTTAATTATACATTTGAAGAAAATTATAATTATATGGAACTTATTTCTTAATATACTAGAACTTTGTCATAGTATCATTCTGAGGATCAGGTCAGAAAACTTTGTCATAGATGCAGCTTTGAAATAATGAGGTCCTTAGGTTTAGTAGAAATTTTTGATCAGGTCTGTAGTCTGACATATTCCAAAGTTCAAAGATAATATGTAGTCATGTGATTCCATATTTCTCAAGCTGAAATGAGATCCTTCTGCTATAGCTGCACACCCCCCCCCCCATGTCCCTTCCCTCCCCCCAGCAAGAGTCCTAGGATATGAATATCTTAAAATCATAATTTAAGTGGGGCTCAACTTCTGGGAGCTTCAACTTTATTTGAAGGTGTGGGCAGAAAAAGTCAAGTAACATAATTGGAAGTAACTTATAAGTATGATTTTTTTTAATGATTTTAGAGAGAAAAGGGAGAGAGAGAGACAGAGAAACATCAATGTGAGAGAGAAATATTGCTTGGTTGCCTCTAGCATGCACCTTGACTGGGAATAAAACCTGCCACCTTTTGGTGCACAGGATGATGCTCCAACCAACTGACCCACAATGGCCAGGGCCAATTACTACTTTTAATAATAAAAATAAATATGAATGTATCCTGAGGTAGAATGAAAAATAATACTCTTAAATATGAAATAGAACTGTCAGACTGCTTCCAGACTCAGTACTTCTGTCATACTCCTGCCTGATAGGAGACATCTATGGAAAAGATTGCGGGAACTGCTCTAATGTACATTATCTGCCAGGCTCTGTTAACACTGTGATAGGAACATGCTGTGTAAGTAGAATGAGAGCAAAATATTTATTAAAGCATTCATTTCCCTGTAGGTCTTTCATTTGAAGCCTGGTTTATCTCTCAGGAGTACTTTCCTTGCACAGTTTCTGCTCGTCCTTCACAGAAAAGCTTTGACGCTAATAAAATATATAGAAGATGATACGTAAGTAAAATTATATGGAAGAAAAACCTTTGTGCATTTTTAAAATTTGTTCCTTTTGAACATTTTCTATATTACATATATTTGTTTTTTATTATTTGTAGGCAGAAGGGGAAAAAGCCCTTTAAATCTCTTCGGAACCTGAAGATAGACCTTGATTTAACAGCAGAGGGCGATCTTAACATAATAATGGCTCTAGCTGAGAAAATTAAACCAGGCCTGCACTCCTTTATCTTTGGAAGATCTTTCTATACTAGTGTACAAGAGCGAGACGTTCTAATGACTTTTTAAATGTGTAACTTACTAAATATATTTCATCACAATCATAATTGCTGCTAAAGTAGCTCACTTGGTATGGGACACATCAGTCCCTGGGGTCATACTTCAAAGTCCTACTTGGCAATGGCAGTCAGACTTAGTTACACTACAGTTGTCACAAGAAGTCTGCGAAGGGATGTCAGGTGCATCGTTAGCAGTGGATGGATCTTTTCCTAGTTGTGCTCTCTTGGGATACAGACTTATGTTTACAATTATAAATATTATTGCTATCTTTAAAAAAGATGATAATAGAATATAAACTTGACCACAACTACTATTTTTTGAAACTTAGGATTCATGGTTTACATGTATCAAAGTGAAATCTGAGTTAGCTTCCAGAGATAAAGTACTAGTTGACTTTGCACTTTTTGGTGTTTCTCGGTACATGGAATAACTAATACTGTTGCAGTCAGCTGAAAACTGGAGCTTCTGAATCATTTCAGTTCCATAGACAGGAAGTTAATTTGAAGCTAGAGTAAGCTTGAGAAAGAAAATATTGTTCAAGCAGATGTTTAACTAAAGTTAATTATTAGATCCTACTTTGTAGATGTAGTCATTCAGAGTCAGTGTGTATAGAAATGAACACAATCAGGGTGATTTTGTTTTGTTGCTAAGCTCTGTCAAAGAAAATATAGGAAATTGGATTTTATGTTTTAGTAGTCGTTGCCAACTTTTTAAATGAATGTTCATTATTTTTGAGCCAAGTGGAAATGTGTACTTCTGTGCCCTTTTTTTCCTCGGAGACTATAATTACTTGGAAGAAGTTTGGATTTCACTGGTCAGTCATTGTCATCTTGTTTTCTTCTTGTATAGTCTCACCCTGATGGCAATCATTGTAATTCCGAGACTATGAAATGCAATAGAGAATATACTAATAACTTTTTTCAGGAATAGAGGTTAGTACCTTGTCTTCTTATATTTCTGCACATATTTTTTAAGTTGTTGCCGTGTGTCTTTGCCCGCATCGTCTGAGGAGTAGCAGGAGACACTTCACTGACATGCTATTTAACTAGGTGCTACTTTGGCAGAACTGAGTGGTCTGTTTCTTTTTTTTTTCTTAATGTGTTGGACCATTTTGCTGGCTACAAAATAACTGATTAACGTAATTCTGTGCTAGAACAGTGTTGACATAGTAGTAGAATATGCAAGCATAAAAAATTATTTAAAGCTGTGGAAGTAACACAAAAGGGAAAAATATTTATAAGAAAGGGATAAAAGTAATAGAGCCCCTCTGCCTTTGCCCAAATTTAAGCAAAAGCATGTTCTGTTTTGAAAAGTCCTAACGGCCTTTCACATAACTCATAAGAAATACTTTATGCACAGAACTAGATGACTGATGCTGTCATGAAAAATGTACACATACCACCTTGTTGTACCCTGTACTCACTGTTTTTTACATGATAAATTATTGAAGTGCTGACTGGTTTTCTGTTTTTTTGCTGGTTTATTGTATTGTTATTTAGAATGCAAGTTGTACAGTGAAATAAGTTATTAAGGCATGTGTAAACATTGCTACATATATTTTCTCCTAGAAGGAGAATTTTGAATAAAATATCTTTGACATTTTGTCTCTTACAGTTGTTTGTTTAGAAAAGCAATGCTATGATACTGAAAAACTGCTTTCCTGTTCAGCTGACAGTCATATTGAATCTAAACTTCTTTCTTTTATTTTTATTTTGAAAGTTTTATTGATGCTGGTGAAGGGGAGCAGCGTTTGCCATTCTAAAATAGGCCTTTTGGGATATTGGTTATTTTAATCTGGTTATTTTTAAGAAATAAAGGACTCAAAAGAACCTTGACTTTCTCCCAACTGCCTAAAAACATTTAGCTGGACGACCTGCACCAGGAAGGGAGATACCATCACAATTAACTGTAGTTTAATATGAACTAAGTCTGATAAAGCCAGAAGGAACCGAGCAAGGCCCTTTGGATTCAAGTCTGTGCCGCACAGTTAAAGATGGCCCAGCAAACAGTTATCTACCAAGCATTTGCTTTTCCCTATTTTGGTATATTGCTTTCCTGCCCTCTGAAATCCAAGCCACACCCCACCTCCTCTCTCCTTAGTTCAAGATGACTTGTAAGCCTTAACTGCCTGATAGGTCTTGGGATCTCATATTCTTATGGGATGCCCATATGTGCATGCATAATAAATTTGGTCACTTTCTCCTGTTAATCTGTCTCATGTTAATTTGGGTATTAGTCCAACCAGAAGAATTTAAAAGTTAGAAAAGTCTTCCTGCTTAACTACCAGGATTGCATTTTGATGTTTTAAGTGTATACATTAATATTTCAAATGTAAGATAATTATTGGGTAAATACATTTTAAAATTCCTGTTATGATATTGGTTTAACAGGTGTTACAGGATTATAATAATATTGATGTAACAGGATCACAGGGTTATAGCAAATGATATACCACTTGTCGTATACAATAAGTATATAGTATAAGAACCTTATAATAGTATACTTACATTTCTTCCTCATCTGTGTGCTATTGTGACCTCACATTTTCCTTCTGCATTTATTATAAGCTCCACACTTTATTTTTATTTTTTGTGTAAGCAGTCAATTATCTTCTTAAAGGAATTTAAATATAAGTATCCTAAATATACCGATGAAAAGGCAGAAATTGTCAGATTGGATAAAAAACAATATCCAGCTATATGCTGTACACAAGAAACTCATGAAGGACAAAGATTAAAAGTGATAGGATGGAAAAAGATATACCACACTAGCACTAATCAAAAGAAAGCTAGAGTGACTATTATTAATATCAGGCAAAGTAGATTTCAGAACAAAGAATATTACCAGCAACAAAAGATAATTTTATAATGCCAAACATCTTGCTGACATTCAGTAAGAGGACATAACAGTCCTAAGTGCTTGTTTACCTAACTACTACTTCAAAAATGCACGAAGCAAAAACTAATAGAACTGTAAGGAGAAACAGACACTCTACAATTAATATGTAGAGATTTGAATACCCCTCTGTCAATGTTTGGTAGAACAAGAAAACACAAAATGGGGATATAGAAGACTTGAACAAGACTAAAAACCAACTTGATGGGACATTGTAGCACACACCAGTGCCTAACAGTAATAGATTACACATTTACACAATGAACATATTCGGAGCCATAAATCAAGTCTCAATAAACTTAAAAGGATTCAAGTTATACAAAGTGTAATCTCTGATCACATGGAATTAAATTAGCAATGAATAATAGATATCCAGGGAGACCTCAAATAGTTGGAAACCAGCACTTTTAAAAGATGAGATAATTTCTAAATTGTGTGTTGGGGGCTAAGAGGAATGGATTGCAGATCACAAAGGAAAGAATCGGTATTGCGGGATGATTTTTATGAGGGGTGGAAGGAACTCATCCTTCCTTTGATGTCTGCCCCCGACAACCCATTATTCACATGGATTGGAACAGCACGATCCTTGTAAAATTAAATCTGATGGTCGCGTCTGTTTAATGGCTCTGTATCATTTATGAACATAAATCCGAAATCTTTGCAACCGTTTCTGGTCATCCCAGTGACCTTGCTGTCTCACTCTCACTTCCTAGCACTTCCTCTTTTGTTGCATCTGTTCCTGATGCCTGTGCTTCTCTGTCTCCACCTCGAGGCTTGAGTGCATCCACGTCCCTTTCACTTTTGTGTTTCTGCCTAGTGTGGTGCCAGGCACAAGGCAAAGGTTGAATGAATATAATGAGTATGTGAAACATTATTTTCTCTGCCTTCTCCCAAAAGAGTCAATTCCTGAAAATTAAGGAAATTGCTTAATCAGGAATTCCCCCTCCCCCTAGAAAGTCCTTCATTAAAATTGAGCCTATGCACAATCTAGCTCTAAAATTTCAAAGACTTTAAGGCAGTGGTTTCCAGTCTTTTCCAAGTAATAATACCCTATCACTTTCTGTTTCTGCATCTGTGCCTCGCTATCTCATCTCTTGCTGAAATACTCTTTTTAAATTAATAGCTTGATAAATTGCTAAGCAGGTTTCATCAGAGCAATTCGGACAGTGGCAGGTATCCATCTGTGGAGTGTGGGCATTTAAGAAATGTGATCCCGTATTTAGAAAATCATTCCCCCAGCTCAGAGTTGGCTCAAACTGGCACCTTCTGGCATTTGCTTGTGGGTGGGGAATGTGGAATGCTTTGAAAGCTGAATGGATTTGTCAAGTTTCAAAATACCCTTATGGCTAAAGGAAAACAACATTCATTGTTTAAAATCACCATTGTTTGTTTTTTCTGCTTTTCTGGTCTTTGGAGCCTGATTCTGCAAAAACATTCACACCCAGCCTTTTGCTCCACGTACCTCTCCTTATACATTTTCTGGAGACCTGGGAGGCATGCAAACCTTTTGGGGGGATTGTTCAGAATGTTCAGAACAAATTGAAAAAGTCCATTTTAATGCTTATGCTGAATTTTATGGAGAAGGAACATATTTCTATCCTTGAGGGCAGATGGTAGAGTTAACAGGAGTTTGGGTCCTGGAGTTAGACTTCCAAGGCTCAAAGCCCTGTTTTTCACTTCTCAGCTGTCACCTTGGACAAGATGTTCAGCCTCTCTGTGTTGCCTCAATATCCTCATCTATTAAACAGGAATAAGAATAGAACCTACATCATTGGGTTATGTGACTAGTAAGTGGGTTAACACATGCAGAATGCTTCAAGGGAACTGGCACAGAGTAAGTGAACAAGAAAATTCAGTTGTGGCTGTTATCATTTTGTCATTGCCATCATCATCGTTAAGCAACTGAATGTAGGGTTTCCAATATCTAGATATTAAGCCACAACAATTCTACAGTCGAGATTCTAGGTGATGCCATGTCAGTAGCAGGATTATTTTATTAGCTTGAACCCACACTAAGTAGAGAGTATTGCCTTAGGAGAAAGTTGTTCTAGGGCAAGAGAGAGAGGGTGCTAGTGAGGTACTACCCAGAGGCCTCAGCCTGTTTTTCAAACCTTCCACTCTGTCTCCACTGCCACTATTAGAACCTCATTGTTTCTCATCTGAATTAACAGCTTTCTTCTGGTCTCCATAATTTCACCCACTAACCACCGTCCTTCTGCCCAATCCATTTCCTCCACAGAAGGCAGAGTGATCTTTCTAAAATAATATCCTCTTAATGTCCTCACTCACTTGCTCTAAGGAACCTCACTGGCAACCTTTCACACAATATAAAGCCTGCAATCCATGGTGAAGCACAGGGCCTAGGGATCTGACCCAGCAACCTCTCCACCCTTTTCCTCACCATTCACCCCATCATGGGAGCCCCGGGAACTACCTGCACTTCCCCAACTCACTGTGCTCCCATCACCGGCCGATGTGCATGCTACTCTCACTGCCTGAAGTAGGCACTCACCTGGACCAACTTGTCCGTCAGGATTCACCTCGGTTAGTGTGTGTTTGTCCAGGCCCCTCCCTCAACTTCAGACTAAAGCATTCCAGACTTCAAGCTCCATAAGGCGAGGACCATGTCTGTGCACTAGCTTATACAGAATTGCCTGGCACGCCATGTTTATTAAATATATGTTCAATTCCCCTCTATTCAGGGCTCTCGTAGGTTTCTGTGATCATAGTCCTAGCATACCACTTAACTATGCATCATCATTATGGGTTGCTTGTGTCTCATGGCACTCTGAGCTTTAAAAGGCTGGTTCTTGTGTTACAATCATTGTATCCCCAGCTCCCACCACAGTGCCTGCCATAAAACAGGAACTCAGGAATTTCTGAAAGGATGGATAGTCTCTGGTTTAAAATTTCCCCAGATTGTGAAGCAAGGGGATTATGGACCCCTTTGACAATACATGATGTTATCCCAATCATACCACTGACTTGTATGTATATGTTTATGGGTGGTGGGTCTATAGCCATGTTCAGATTCTCAAAGGGGTGAATGATTCCCCCAAAAGGTAAGAATCTATGTCCTAAAGAGTTATTAAACAACAACAACAACCCGTGAGGTGAAGTGTTTATGAGGTAGTTTGATGAATCAGCCCATTTGACCCAGATAAGGAAGTGTGTTTGTGTCTCCAGCCCGACCTCCGACCTCCAGCGTCTCCCTGCTGCTGGACTGGTCATTCCCCACTGGGCCGCAGTGGGTGTTTGTCCTGGATGAATGTCCCTTTGTGGTGGCCCCGCCCACACACCTGTAGGAGGAGTTTGAGGCTTATTTGCATGGCCTTCTGGGCTCTAGAAGCATTGAGGATTCCAGCCCTGGGACCAGCAGCACAGTGTTTTAACTAACCTAGGAGCAGAGGCTTTTCTGTCCAAATTGAAAACCTGTGGTCCAGTTTGGCTGGATATCCTCTGGCTTCCATCAACACACATGGCATTTTTTGCTGGCCTAGACCCACACGAACAAGAAGACGAGCGCTTCTCTAAGAAGCTAAAAAAAAAAAAAACCACCCACATTTTTAAAATAACTTGAGCAAATTAATTCATTCTGGTGCAAGCAACCCAGCTACATAAAATAAACTTCTTCAGAGTTTCACAATAGCAGGTCCTGAACATGTAAACAACCCAAGGTCCACATGAGCTGCTTGGCTGAACAGAAA